GGGGGGGGGGGGGAGAAGGGCGCGAGGAAGAAACCCGCGGAATCGATGGTGTTGTGTAGATGGGACGGAAAAATCCGCGAAGAATACTGATGTGCCATGGGTGATCGCGAGGGAGAAATCCGCGGAATCGGTGGTGGTATTATGTCGACTCCGTGAAGCAGAATGATGTACCGCGGTTCGCGGCGGCTGTTGTGTTGTGGATATCCGCTGCTGGGAAAGAGGCGTATTGTGAGCTGCTTGCCGCTCTTTCGATCGACATTTTGTCCTTTTGTAACGTTGCCGCATTCCCTTGCGCGGCCGCCAAGGTTGTGGTTTGTGGACCTGTTTTTTCTGTCATGGCGGAGCCAATTTTGTTCTCCTTTCGCCGCCGCCCTCTCGCCAAAAAGCTAATGAGGGGTTACTTTGTCATGAACACCCGGTCGTTGAGCCTGTTGAGTGTGCTCTCTACCCAGGAGACGTCGCGATTTACTTGTTGAGATGATGCTGCGAGTGTCGATGGGTGAGCTTGTAATTCGATGGCCTTTGTTGTTGAAGAGAACCCGGTTGAAGGAGGAAAAAGGCAGAACCGTGATGGCGCTTCAAGTAGCACGCCGAATAAGGGCGTCGGCACGCATGCAGAGCGTTTGCCGGCGCCCAAAGCGCTCGTCCCTTCAAAGACGCTTGCGCAGGAATATGTCTTTTTTCGACGAGGAAGAGGGGTAGCGAAAATACGTCATCCAAAGCAGGGGCGGGAGACCACGGATCGAGGCTGTTGACTGTACAAAAGAGAAAAATTATACAGCCAGAGAGCCAGAGAGGAAACCAAACAGAAAATATCCGTGGTAAATAAAAAAATGTGACGGTCGTTTTGGGCCGCGGCTTAGCTGCCGTTATTTTTATCCAACGGAGGATTTGTTGTGACGGCCGCGAATGAAGATGTTTTCCAAAGTTGAGATGTTTTTTTATTTGGGTGTGCGTTGGGGTTTTGGTTGGTCGCGAACTGCAGGCGATGTTCCCTCTTTTTTTTTTTTGCGTATATTTGGGATCCGTGTATCTGTTCCGGTCATTAATGGTGGTAAGGTATGGTGTTGCTACGCCAACGACAGACGAGGCTTTCGTCTTGAGGGTGTTGTCTTGTTCTCTGTTTCTGCTGCGGTTGGGAACGAATGCCCCCCGTGCGTGGGGCACAACCTTGTACATACAGCAGGGGGAGAATGGATGGCGGGCATGGGCCAGGTTTTCGCGCAGCAGGGTGGACGATTATTATCTAGGTATAGTTGTCTGGTCAGTCGTCAGGTTTGGGGGGTTCGCGGAGCGGACATTGGTGTGTGCTGGCAAAGAGGGCAGCGGTGTCGTGTCTTCGTTTTCCTGGGTGGTGGAGTGGGGGGAGACTGGGCACCGATGTCTCCCCATGTAAATATTGAACCATGCGCGATGTGTATTGAATCGCAGAGGGGGCGGGGGAGGGGGGGGGCACGAGGCAGAAAATGACCAAGTGGTGAAAGCATTTTGAAGCAGCAAAAAAAAAAAGTTGCGACGACTACGAGCACGGTGGACGGAAATGGTGTTGTCAGTTTCAACACGGCTGATTATTGAAAAATGTGAAATGTGCGGCGGATAGAGGGGGTCAGCATGTGGTGGTTATGGTTCAGTGAAAACGCGCAAACGAGAACGATGTTTAATTTGCTGCGCTGTGGTCGGTATTTCGTCTTTCGGTTCAGCCGTATGCATACGTAGCAGTGGTGGAGCGCGCCCCTCCCCTGTCACAAGTACGGCTCGGCCCTAGATAGCTTGATGCGACAAGAGTTTTCGGGGCGGCCGACAGCATGCGGGGTGTGTGTGCGGGCTAAAACCAGTGTGGTGGTATACCAGTAGCAAGAGAGTTGGACCGCGTTTGTTTGCCGTGCACTCGGAATGTGCAGTCCGAGGGAGAGCGCCAGGCTTGAAGAGATTATCCATAGGAGCATATGACGTGCTGGTTGTGGCATGCTTCGTTCGGTGTTTTTTCTGGGAGGGTGCGGTCGCGTTTGTGTGAAAAGGTCGTGCCTCTATGCCTGATTTGTATTGCTGGAAAAAGGCAAATAAAAAAAAAAAAAAAATGATGGCTGTTGTTGTCTTCACCTTCACACAACCGCCTTTCCGGTATTCGCTAGAAGGTAGGTAGGTACCGTATATTGTAAACATGCGTACT